TCTTAAAGATGTTTTCTTTGTGTTCTACTTTGTCTGTAATAATTCCTTAATGGGAAGTCCATTACATAAATATTTTCTTGGAAATGATCCTGGTAAGGATAAACACAAAACTCCTCTAGACCCACCTAGGAACTGAACTTTGATTACTCCTAGATAAGGTGCTTCATATCATGGTTTGCTTATTATTTTCTCCCTTCATTTACTTATTCTCTCAGCAAACATTTGCCATCTCTCATGTGCCAGGTGTTTTGACATGCAAATATTAAATATTTTTAAAAACTGAACTTAATTTTTGTTTCAAAGCCCCACGGGATATAGACTTAATCTTATTCAGTGAGGGTCCCTGATTTCCCCAGGGTTGTATCCAAGTTCTGTGGGCTCATGTAAAGCCAAGTCATTGATCAGATACTTAACAACCTTCAGTTGTTCAACTTGGATTCTGCTGAGATGCCTCCATTTCAGGATGATTTTCAGTTGTTGAATGTGTCGGATCCAACCAGGGAAAGCAAAATCATTCTAAATATTCAAATTAGTGGAATTTAATAGAGGGACTTTGCTACACAGGTTATGGGGAGAGTTGAGAAACCGAGAGGACCATGAAGCCTCTCAGACACTAACAACAGCAGAAAGCTGCTATTTCCCTGAAGATGGGGAAATTTTAAAAAAGTGGTATTGCTGGACCCAAGAGAAAAGGTACACTTGGCAGAAGTTGGACCTAAGGGGGGACCTTCTGGAATAGAAGAAGAGAAGACATAGTCACCACTGGAGGCATCTACCCCGGCAAAGAGAGAAGGGGAGAAGCACTCCTGCCCTCCAATCTCTCATATGTGCCTCCTATTAACCAAATCTCGCTGGAGCAGCTGAACACGCAAGCTTGGGAAGACAGCCTCTATCTAGCATATCTGACTCCCAGATGCAAATCATTTTTTACTATACTGCTCCTCCGTAAGAGAAATTGTTTTCAGTTATAAGCTCCAAGTTAGCACATTTTTATTATTTACCCTTTAATAAGCACTGTATTCTTTATAGACATTACTCTGAAGAAATTCCGGTAAGTCCGTAACAGGTTAGAATCATTCGAGTTAGCTAGTGTAGAGTTTGTGCCTCCAGTTCCTATAGTACAGACCCTGTCAAGACATAGAAACAGAATATGAGGTATTTTCATTCTGCCATTTTACAGTGGCTAGGAGTTTTTCTTTGTGTGAAGAAAATTAAAACAATAAAACAGAGTAGCTGGAGAGTGATGATTTGAAAATCATGCCTTGCTGACTCTGAATCTGAGGAAAAATCCTCTCATTTGCTTTTGAAATAAATGCCTGTAGTCAGGTGTCAGGGCTCATTGTCGCATGTCTAGCTATCTATCCATCATTTATCTATTAGATATGTCTATCCTCTATCTATCTATCATCCCTCTGTCTGTCATCTATTATCTATTTAGCTATCTATTTATCTATCATCTATTTATCATCATCATCACTATTATTAATATTATCTATCTGTCTAGTTTGCTAGGGCTGCTATAACAAAGTGTCACAGACTGGGTGGCTAAAACAACACAAATTTATTTTCTGACAGTTCTGGAGGCAAGATGTCTAAGATCAAGGTGTTGGCAGAGTTGGTTCTTTCTGGAGGCTGTGAGGGAAGGCTCTGGTCCAGGCCTCTCTCCCTGGGTCGTAAATGGCTGTTTTCTCTCTGTGTCTTCACATTGTCTTCCCTTTGCTTCTGACTGTGTCCACATTTCCTCTTCTTTAAATACCAGTCATATTGGATTAGGGTCCACTCTAATGACTTCATTTTAACTTTACCTCTTTAAAGACGTCCTCTCCTAATACGGTCACATTCTGAAATACTGGGGGTTAGGACTTCAACATATGAATTTTGGCAGAGGAAACAATTTAGCCCATAACTCTATCATCTATTTAATCTATCTATATAACTATCTAATCTATATAAACAGCAACTACAGTGATTATTCAGGACTTAGACATAAAATTTTTTTTGAGCAGTACTTTATCTCTGACATTGTTTCGAAAGGCCAGCATGTGAAGATAATAAAGAACAGAACCAATATTTAACTAGTTTTATTGTTAGTTCTAATTCTCTACGATAGAGTTACCTCTTATTGCTTGTACCTGGTGAGGATCACTCCCACTACCTGCTCTTGGCACAGCCCACGGGAATCAACCTCCTTAGGACATAGATTAGAGCAGAGGAAAGAAAAGGAATGGATCTGAGGACAAACAGCACATGGATGGGCTGTGCTGTTTTTGTTGGTCCAGGTGTGTTATTGCTGTGTTCTCACCTAGTTCCAATGATTAGGACTTTTTGAATGCTCTGTGTCACTCTTGGATGAATAGGAAATATTATTCTGTACCCATAGTGTTCTAGCTGTGGGAAACTTGGCAAGATTATCTCTTGGCCTGTCAGACTAAAGACATCACAGAGATATTTTTTCATCTCCCAGCACTGTGAGGGCACAAGAAATGCTGTCAACATCCTTGGCTCCACCTGGGTCAGGACACAGATTGTTTCTACCCTTAAATTCTCAAACCCACCTGAGAATTTATCATTTCTCTGTGTCCCATTCCCCAGGAAATGAACTAAAGAGAGGTCACAGGGTCCTTCTCCAGGGCACATTGATATCTAGACCCTCTTAACTCTGGTCTTTTTTATTTTATCTTCATACAAAGAAATCATGTTATAACCTTAAGAGTAAGGAAAACCTGGTTCTAATTGAGCCATTTTATTCTTTGACCACAATCTTCTCAGAATTTAGGCTTTTTGATCTAAAAAATAAGAACTGTCTTTAGATTTCTGAGTTCTATTATTTCATCTCTTCTTCACGGGAGGAGGAACTCCCTATTAGCTAAAATCTCACACTACTACACTATATTGTTTCTTGATCATTCCTCAAATATTTACTAAGTTTCTACTTAGTACTACTGTTGACTTCTTGATTCCTCCGTGTTAGCTATGTGACGTTGGCCAAGTAATTTAACCTTGTAAGTTTCAGTTATCTTAGTTGAAATGTGTTGATAATGATATCTACACTGTCTACATTATATGGTGTTTGTGAAGAGCAAGTGAGCCCAATAAAATGTTTTTAAGTATATCAAGATTTTTTTTGCAAATGGAAAGAATTATTAGCGTGCGTTTAATTAAATTTGTAAAGTACAAAGGGTTAGTCGTTTAAAACATTTTCAACCATGTGTAGCTGGATAATACTATATTTTCCCTCTTCCCCTGGTCCTCATTCAGGAAGGTAGCCAATAGCACATTTCACTGGCTAGTGGAGTATATAGCAAAACTGAAGGCAAATAAACCTAGAAGAATTTGTCTTTATTTATGTATTTTTGCTTCTGAAAACCTAAGCCTTTATGAAATTGTGTAAAATTTTTGACAATGGAGGAGAGGGAGGTTTGTGGATGTGACATTAAAAAATAATCTTATGGGAGAAGGAACAATTTCCTTCACCACTGCTTGTAGACAGCTCGTAACCAATTTAGCAGGTCAGGTTTTGCCATGACTCTGGGAAATGGTGGCATAGATCATATTAACACTGGCTACATCAGTAGTTTTCAAAGTTCTCCTAGCAATTCTAATATGCATCCAAGGTTGAAATCCACTGATCAAAGCAGCCCAGAACAAGAGAGTCTCAAAAACGATTGCCACACGTGACAGAGAATTGACAGAGCTGAGAAGCCTAAAGGGATTGACCATGTGGGCAGGTACAATCAATAGACATCTTCTCAGTAACCTGTATGGACTAATGATCATGGACTGATCCCCTGAACACACCACCCCAAACACTGCTTATCCCTGCATAAGAACCCAAGAACTGTGTAATATGTGGTAAAATACCCCAGAAGTTGATTTTAAGTTAAATTTTAGAAAATAAAGATGTATTTCTTGCATATTTGGGGTTGTGGTATGAGATTTATATACATAATTCATCTTGAAATTCATTGAAAATCATTAAAATTTCTTTTTGGTGTAATAAGGAAAATATTGCAGCAGAGTAGGGAAGGTAGAAATATTTTTTTTCCGAAAGTACACCTTGATTAATGAAAGAGCAAGCAAAAGAATTCTTAGGTCCCAAAATTTTGCCCCATATTCAGTAGCTAATGTTATCTCCAGTAATTTTATGATGCCACCCAGTGTTACATATTTTTCTTCTTTAATCCACTGGCTAGCAGTACAGCATGCTCGTTTAGATTCTGGAACCCATCCTGCAAGGCTAATTACTTCTTCCAGTGAGCCGAAGGATAAGACAAATGATTCCTTGACAACTTGAAGCATATATCTTGCTTGTCTTGATGTCTTACTTATTTGCCTGTATAAGATAAATGACTCCTTTTCAAAACACCCAATATTTAGGCCTTTCTGAATTAAGTCTGAAAAAGAAAATCTTAGGAAAAATCTATCTAAATCATTGTTTTTCTTGCTATTATTTGAAGATATTTTCATTTATATGTCCTTTATCACCAGTGTACTGCTAACGTTTTATATTACCAAAGGTTTGACTTACTGAAGCCTTGCTGGTGGTTTGTAGAATGGAATGAGGGTTTGACATTAACATCTAGTCTTGAATTATCTCTGATTTAACGTTTCAGAGTTACCAGATGATCTCTTGAGGACAGAAATTCATTCTTAAATTGACCCAGCAGTTAAATATACCAATATGGTTGAAAATATGTAACAATTTTATTATTTTATTAGAATAAGTATGGACATGCAATAAATATTTGGTGAACTAATTTAAGGTATTCATTGCAATTATATACTGTAAATTAAATACATTTTTGCTACATAATAAACACAATACTTGAAGAGTTAAAAAATGAATATATAAATATTGATTGGTTCACAAGATATTGGAGATATTCAGAAGCAACCCATAGGAGTAGTCCTGCTCTACAAACACTCTCCACCTATCCCCACCCCACCCCTCACACACTTTTAACTTGATATTGCCAAGTACACATGGGAAGTGAAAAACTGAGAAAATAATGGATATAATTCAAACCAAAAAAAATGCCATAGCCATACCTATTTATTTGAGAGTAAAATAAGAGGTACTTATTTTAGCCTGACTAATTGCCTGAATCATTACCTTGATTCTTCATTTTACTTTGCATGTGTAGACCTGTACAATGACTAAAGAATAAAACAAGGAACAGAAACCATTCCCTTCAACACCCAAACCTCAATTCCCTAATTGGGACCATATTTCCTCTTGTATGAGAAGTGAGTTCTATTGATGTGGCTTATCAAGATAGATACTTCTGTTTGCTGTTAAATGCAAATCATGGGTTGTGAAAGCATATTACTTTTCACTTATATACTATTTTCCTTTGAGTATATTATTCTAAGCAAATTTAACTGTATAAATTAAGAGCTTTAAAATCCATCTTCTTAAACACCCTAAGAGAAATCAGAGCTCCCTTTTCCCTAATTGTTTAATTTCTAATACATTTAAGTTTCTTAAAGGAATAACATATCTTTTCATTGGATCGTCATTTCCACATTTGATAAACTCAATTAAAAATCCTTATTTGATGTCTGTTATTTTTCGGGTTTTTTTTTTTTTAAAGAAAAAAATCATCACTTTAGTTGTTACTATGTTAGTATAATAAATAATTTGGGGGAAATAATTTAGGTTACATTTTAGAATATATTTTATTGCCATGGATTATCAATTGCAATATAATTTGGATTTCTTAGCAGATAGTATATGATTGTCAAAAAGGGTAGTTTATCATTATACCAAGGATTGTGGGTATACTTGATTTTAGACTACACAAGTTGGAATGGGGATTATTTGAGTCCAATAATATAGTAAATGCATTTAATAGACATGAGATCAGAATGTCCAAATTAAGTCATTTCTATTCCTACCACAGGCGTCAAACTACAATCTATATGCCCTTTATACTTTTCATCTCAATTTAAATGCAGTTATAAAACAAGTTCTCCTGCCTGATGTACTTACAGTTGCTGTTAGGACTATAAAACACATCGATCATAATCCATAGTTTGAGCCAAAAGCAAGTATTAGACATAACTGGTGGAGGTCCTACTAAGCAGTGTCATGTTCCTTCGCTTATCTGTGTGTGGCAAAAAATGTCCATGGGCCGGATATCTCTGCCTTTCCTTCTTTCTGTTGCAACAGCAGAACGCACAGAGCAGACCTCCTGCAATAAAGAGGACAGCGGTGCTTGCCCAACCAAGGAAAAGTGCTGCTCCCAGCTCTCGTTTCTGACCTATGGGGACGACAGGGCTGTAGAAATTCCTGATGATGATATTGGCTGTCCAGCACACTGGAATCAGAACGAAGATGCCTGTCAGGATGAAGAGGACTCCAGAAGTTCCCAGAAGGTATGCTTTGGCCCTCTGATTAGAGCCCATGCACTGGATTTGCTTCATGCCACAGATGCCAATAAGCAAAGCAATTAAGGAGAGAGCGACAGCCACACACATGAAGGCCCGGGCTGCTTCGAGGGCAGGTGGGAGAGCCAGTAAAGAACTGTAGAACTTGCACTGCAACCTGACCTTGGCTTGTTGGACACAGTTCATCCAGAGCCCTTCCCAGAGCTTTTCGAAGACAATAATGTTGCTGCCAATAAAAGCTGATACTCTCCACTGAGGCAGAAGGGTGGTGGTGAGAGTCCCGACCATGCCGAGGAACCCAAGAACCAGTCCAGCAATTTGCAGGGGATAAAATGCCATCGCCTTTACTTTGAAGACTGATCCGGTCTGAAATGGAAACTGCTCAAGATCCAGAATGTGGAGGCCTCTTTGAGATTACAGCAGTCTCTACTGATGTTCTCCACTGTTACTGCCTATAACATTTTCATCCACATCAGCAACAGTGACTGAACTTGGCTTAACTAGAAGTACCTGTTGTAAATGCATGCTGCCTTTGTGCGCACACATTCATTTCTGTGTGGATTATTTACTAGCCATATATAATTATTTCCCAGCCAATTAGAAGGTATCCAGAGGTGTGTCAAGAAATACGGCATTCGACTTGAGTATTTATCATATTATTATTGTCTTAGCAATGCTATGATTAAGTGTCAAAGCTTCCACTGTGGATTGCTAATTACAGAGCTGAAAACTTCCTGTCTAAAAGTCACTCTGATATAAAAAAATAAGTATATGTGTTAAGCCACAACTGAAGACAATGCCAAAACCTTGCCAGTTCTTTGGAAAGCAGTTGAAAAACACTTTGGGCTTTAGATGATCTGTTACTTTTTTTTTAAAAGAAGCCACTTTTCTTTAAGGTGATTAATCAATTCTGGTTTTAATAAAGATGTCTGGATATGGAGAAATGCTTAGGTGTTAGTTTCAAGACTTCTACTAAAACTACCGATGCTTTATAAAAGGAAGAGTCTTAAGCAAGATATTCAGATTTCGCAATTTATTCTTAAGATCCAGAAAGGAAGAACCAAAAGAAACACTCTTAATAATTGAATTTACTGGTAATTATTATATTATTTGTTAAGTAACACCCTTCTCTCTGGTGAAATAATGTTTAGATATAAACTTTCATTAGATGCTTCTTCAATGGCAGATTGAAATATATCACATTTATCCAAGCCAAAAATGTATATTCCAGTTTAAAGAATAATATGAAAGTACCCCTTTGGATTAGCTATGCAATTACTTAAATTCAGATAATAGAAAACTTTTTAGAGATGGAAGGTATCTTCAAAGTCATCGGGTTTAACTTTCTCTCTTGCCAGATGTGGAATGTGTTGTCTTCAGAGTGCTTGGCTAGGCTAGCTATGCAGTAACCAATCCAGGAATAAATCCTGTCTCTAATTTATTAGGCTTATCTCCTTTTTCTAGTCTGACTCAAAAACAGGAGGGAGAGATGCTTTTTCATGCATTTTTCTATGAATGGGACTAAACCTGAAATTTATTGCTACCCCTTCAATAGTTTTTCAAATTTTCATAGCAAGCAAAATTCGATTGAAACTCTTTCAAAATCCAAGAGTCAAATTGTCATCCTTGACTGCCATGTCACCACCGTGGCCCAGCACAGGTGGGGAGTGGGCTTAATATGGGAAGCATGGACCTTTCCCCTTTTTCTTTCACATCCAACTGCGAGGAATCCACTTCAAGGATAAAAACTACTCAAAACAAGCACACCAAGTCCAGTCTAGCTGGGAGACGTTATAGTTTGCAAGAGGTCCTCCCTTTCAGTCAACCACAGGCCAAGAGCTAATGGATTGTCCCAATAACAACCGGATTTAAAGATCCTATTAATTGGGAAATATGGACACCATTGAGTTTTCAACATGGGTGGTCTATATCTATCTGTGTGTCTATCTATCTATCAATCTATCTATCTACCTACCTACCTATCTATCTTTGTTGTTGCTTTCTTAGTACCATCTTAGACCAAATGAGAAGTCCTTCTCTAAGGAATGTGAACCATTGAGGAAACAGATGACTTCTGTGTAGTTCACAGTTTCCTAACATCAGCTCAGGATGAAGAGCTTACTCGGACCTTTGTTCTAGGTTTCTGAGACTCAAGTTTAACCATTCCCACCCTGAAGGGATTTGCCAGCATTACAACATTACTCTGACTTGTTACTTCCAGCTCTTCTTCCCCATTCTATTTCCTCTTCCTCATTCTATGTCATTTTTAATCCTATCTTCATTTTGTCCTGGAAGTTTCCAACTTAACGGTTGTCTTCCAGTTGCTTGACTTTTCATCAGATAAAACATCTAGTCTGTATTACAAATAAACACAGCAAGAGAGTGTGTTCACTTAGAATACAGAAGTGTGTCCTGAATATAAGTTTAATCTGAGAAACATAAATAATGCAAGAGATTTTGGTTTTTGCCCCTTACAGCTAAAGCCAAATGTCAACATCATCTTTACTTTCTCTCCTTTACATTTTAGGGGAGATACTGTTCTCCTCTCCAAATTATCTGTGAATCTTATCCCTTTCAACCTCCTCAGGGACCCTTGTTCCATGGATCATTCCCTCCCTTTGTACCTACATCCTCTTCCTCTCTCTGACTTGTCTTTTAGAATATGAACATACTCAGTTCTCTTTCATATTAAAATTCCATCTTGCCAGATCTGTATTCCCTGCTACTTATTCACGTACATCTTTCGGTCGACTCTCACATTTTCCATTGCTCCACCATTGAAGTCTGCTTTCCATCACGATGCCACCCATGAAAACCTGCTAGAAATGTGAAAGACTTCCTGGACATTCTAACTGCCACCTCCATAGAACACTTCAGCACCTTTGCTTGATTGACCTTTCTGTAAAGGTCAAAAAAAACCACCATCTTCTAATTGGGGCAGTAAAGATCATGTGCTTTGGACAGAGACTTGTTTCAGTCTTGGCTTAATGCCTTAGCCATCAATTTTTGGCTTGTGTTTGAACCTCTCAAAATTGCTGTTCTAACTTAAAGGAAACCCCGAGCTGCCATCCGGTATCTGCTAGTTTTTCCAGCTGAACTGTACCCTCCCCAGTACCCCCCTCCCCACTTTCCCATAATTTATGACATCAAAACACTAGCTTTCACCCCTTTTCCTTGAGACTCAGGAGGACCAAAGCTTTTTTTTTTCCTCTCCCCTACCAAGGGTTGAAGGAAGGGGTCTATCCTTATTGTTCAGAGGCACCAGCCTCCCCTAAATCAGGCTGAGAAAAAACCAGCCAGCTCTTAACTCCTCCCGGTTGTTTTCCTTTCCCACCCCAGTTGATTTTTTGTTTCCCTTTTACCCCTACCCCCTACCTCTGAAGCCATTTTATGAACTGTCATGTGCCACCTGAGCCTCCAGTAAAAACAAAAACCGGTTTTCCTGTAAAAAAAAAAAAAAAATTCTACAAAATTTGGACAATAGTACCAATCTCATGGGGGCTGCCTTGAAGATTAAGTTTACAGAATGTGTGCAAAGGACCTGGCCCTGAGCAAGCATCCAGGAGAGGTTTGCTGTAATGTTTGTCTCTTTTGCTTTTGTTATATTATCCTGCTTATTACTTCTTTACCTGCCCATTTCCAGTCTTTTCTTTCTATAGGTGAAAGAAACCTACGTTTGTTTTGTCTGTTTGTCTGTTCCAGGCTTCCGTATATATATACCTCAATACTCGTCTCACTCAGCACGTGCTCCCTAGGGAGTCTCATCCATGGTTATAGCCTCTACTGCCTCCTGTCAGACTACAAGTTTCAAAGCTGTTATCTTCAGCCCAGGCCTCTTTATGTTTATCACCCTGGGTTCCTTTTGTTCTCTCAGCCTCTCTGTCAGTTCCACCCAGATACTGACTCTCCAGCTGCTGAGAGTGCTACTGGCAGACAGCCATAAGCTGTCAGCACCCTTCAGGTATGGCCTGAAAACAGCCATCTTGTTCAAGTCATTCCCATTCATGGGGGCAGCGTATATCCATGGAACGACTGATCAGTATAGAAGTATAAAGGTCCAGCCCACTAGCCCCAGGTAGAGGTTAAGTCTGAGGGGCCATCGTAACTCCAGAGCTTACGTGTGGTGTTAGCTCAGGCTTTGATGGGGTCTGCGCCACAACTTGACTTCTCCTTATATTCAATCCTTTTCCTTCCCTCCTTTCCCGCAGGCGTTGTTCCCAAGAGCACTCCAGAATAAACATAATGCACATGAATCTTCACCTTAGAGTCTGCTTCCCAGGGAAACCAACCGCTGATTGACACCTTATTCTAATTTATTAAATGTGTTTCCTGTTCTAACATTTCTGTGCCTTAATTCAGCCCTTTAACATCCTTCACCTGAATCATTTCAATAATGTCTTACCTATGTCTTTGCCTCTGTTCTTTCTCCTATCTCATCTATACTCCATTGGGGACCATAAAGACTTTGCTGAATCAAACTCTAAACATGCCACCCCCTTGCTTAAATTTTTTCAATAGTTCTCAGTTGCCTCCAAGATAAAAGTCCAAATCCCTTAGCATGACAAAAAAGACCAATCCTTGAATTGGCCTCTACCCAAATTTAAAATTATCTTCTGACCATGACCCCGTTCCATGTCTTCACAGAGCTTAGCTTTTAGTGAGAGTAGTAAATATTAAATAAGTAATTGCAAAAATATATGTAATTACAAAGTGAGATAGAGCTATGGATGAAAAATATAGGGTATAAAAATGTAGCGTACAAAGACAATATAAACAGATGAAACCTTAATTTTAATTATGACGTGAAAAAACATTCTCTGACAAAATAATATTTAAGCTATAACCTGAAGTTTGAGTAGGAATTATATCATCAGGTAAAGGGTGGGATAAAGAGCATTCCAGGTATGGACTGTCTGTGCTAAGGCACTGAGGCCAAAGAGAGCTTGGGGCTAATGCAAATGAAAGCCCTTGAGCAAGAGGAAAGTGAGAACTGTGATGAGAAGCAGATAAGTCTGCAAATGTAGGCACAGTTCATATACGCAGGGCAATATGAACCATTTAATAATCTTCTCCTAATACCAATACAAAGCCAGTTAAAGATTTTAAGCATGGAACTGACATGATCAAGTTCTCCTTAAAAAAGAAAAAATCATATTGTTATTTTGGGGGAACGGATTGGAAAGGCACAAAATTGAACATGAACCAACCAATTAGAAGGTTATTGCAATGGTCCAAATGAGAGACGATGAAAGTTAACTTAGAGAAGCTGCAATGTAGAGAAGTGGATGGATTGTGCTATGTATAAGAGTTATAGTTGGTGAAAGTGGGTGATGGACTAGAGACAGGAAAATGTGTCAGAGATGACTGTCCTATCATTGGCATGAGCATCATTGTACACAGGGGTGCCTGTACTGTGGGGTGAGACACTGAAGGATGGGCAACCTATTAGATCAAGAGTTAAGTTTCAGATGTGAAGTCTGAGTTGCCTGTGAGCCATTCCAGTAAAGAATGTAGGGAATTA